CCCCAAAACCCCAAAACCCCAAAACCCCAAAACCCCAAAACCCCATTGAAGATAAAATAAGGGATTTATTAGGATTATAAAATAAATTCTTGCATATTTTAATGGATAGTGTTGCGAACTCCAAACGGAGAGCATCTTCTTAAAATCCAATTGATATCCTGAGGAGTCCAGTCGATGTTCACAAAACTATCATGAAGTCAACTCTTGGCAGAGCTATAACTCTAAGGAAATTGGATAATCAATTCTCACCATCAGCAAGCATGTTAAATACTTAATCTGTTGAGTTTACCAATCTGAAACCCAAATTCCTGATGCCTCAAACTGATAAACTTGTAAAGCAAGAGCCACACTAACTGGGCTATAACAGTCCAAGCTCACAGCTGAATAGATCTTTAAAGGATAATATAGGCGATGTCTTCTTCAATAATAAGGAAGTTAAAAATATTAGATTTCTGCCCTTCTTGAGAGAAAGAAACGGTCTAGGCAAGATTATCGAAAGTGTAAGCTAAATCCCAAAAAACATATATATATTATTATGAAATTTTCAAAATTTATGATACAAACTTTAGCATTAACAAAATAATTATATAGGATTAGGAGATACCATTAAAGCAAAAGAAGGTCCCAAGCATTATGGAAACAAATAGAATACTTGCTTAGAAGAAAAAGTAAAGTGAAGAGGCTTCGATTAAACTTAATACCAATGTTCCAATAAATGGCATACCTTTAGGAGCTGATTCTTCATTTCAAGCTATTCCTACAATGATAGCGGACCTATCACCAACAGAGTAACAATTACTACAGAGTCAAGCCTATGGTATTAAAAGAATCAGTGTAAACTCAAGTCTAAATTAGCATCCTAACTAAGATATCTTTAATAGTTCTAAGTTCTTAGATGTAAGAAATTATAAGCAATAATTTTATAGAATCAGGAGGATCTGGAAATTTTTAGCAACAATGTACTGAGATAAAATCCAAGTTTGCTCAAATCAACATTCACACCAATGGAGAGTATTAGAGATAAAGAGTATCATCACAGCAGTTTGAGCAATTAGAATCATCAAATACCCTATGTTAATTTCAAGATACAAAAAGATAAGAATTTTGTGTTTTTGAATTAGATCTACAATAATCAAGTGAAACCTACCTTGGAATAGAAAAATCAGCAAAGTCAAAAGAAGATCAAGCTAAGAGATAACTGCAATATTGTATGATCTCATTTACATTGATAATTATATTAGATAAGTTCAAATCTGCCTTCACTTGGAACGTATGATCCAAAGCCAGAAGTAATAGAATTTAGGCAAGGTATGGGATTTTCATTTGAAAATTCTTCATTAGTCAACTTAAAGAATCAATCTTTAAAGAGATCGATGAGTTAAGCCAACAATATCCTCTTTAAAAGACAAACAAATGATGTTGATAATAACAAAGATTCTTATAATTACTTGCTCCGCTTGCTATAACCTTAAAATGAAATCACTGCCTTAATGGCAAAGACTAAGGATCAAAAGGAAATGGAGTAGACAAAGCAAATTTAATTAGATAATCATAGCAATCCACACTATTAGAAAAGTGGTAATAACAACAATAGCAATAATAACAATCAACAAAAGAATCAGCAAAGTGAGAAAAAATAGAATAATTAGCAGAATTCAAATAGCAATCAATAATCAAATTAGCAATAACAGCAAGGAGTATTTGAAACTAGATTGCCAGAAATCCCACTAGAAAGTGTTTATGAAAACAGATCTAAGATTAAGAGCATGATCATGGATATCAAGACTAATATTTACAAGATGGATAAGTATTGAATGAACTTCATCAATAGCAATCACAGTAATGACTTAATTTAAAGAAGAGTTAAATATTTAACAGATATATCTTTTTTTAATCTTTATAATTCATTGCACTTTGGCAACTTTATTTAATTCTAGATTTATCTTGATGGGGTTTTGGGGTTTTGGGGTTTTGGGG